TGCCAAGTATTGTGGCTCTCTATTTTAATACCTTGTGGCAAGTCCTTCCTCACAGCTCTTTCATAAAACACCTTAACTATTGTATTGTTTTGTCAAGTTAAAAAAAAATAATTGCATTGGGTTTTTGGTTGGGATCCCTATTTAGAAACATGGGATGTTTTAAAATTCAAATATATCTATATATATATTTTTTATATTGGTTAAGTCTTATTAGTTTAAATTTTTTCTTCACAATTCAGTTTAATATTTTGGTTTTGATTGCTCCTATTATGATACTTTAATTTTTTCTATTATCTTCTTCTGATTAGTTAGTGCTGAAATATACAAAGGCTATTAACTTCTATCTTTCTATAGAGCTTCACTGAAATAATTTAATCTTTGGAGTTTTCAGTTGATTCCATTAGCTTTCTATATACATAATCATAGTATCTGCAAATAATGACAATTTTGACTCTTTTCCAAATGGCTACATTTTTTTTCTGTGTTGTTTATATGGCATTGGCTAAAACTTACAAATGGTATTAGCGTACAGGTCTCACCCAGGATTTTAATGAGAATTCTGTTAGTTTTTTAGTATTAAATAAAATATTTATTATTTGCTTAGGATACTTTTTTTTTCTTATTTTGAGGGATATTTTGAGTATTTTTCTGGTCTTAGTGTCCTAAGAGTTTTTTTCTTTAAAAATCACAATTTTGGGGTGCCAGGGTGGCTCCGTCAGTTAAGTGTCTCATTCTTGGTTTCTGCTCAGGTCATGATCTGAGGGTCATGAGGCTGAATCCCGTGTCAGGCTCCACACCCAATGGGGAGTCTGCTGGTGATTCTCTCTCTCTCTCCCTGTGCCCATCTTCCTACTCTCAAAATAAATAAATAAAATCTTAAAAAAAAAAAATAGGAGCACCTGGGTGGCTCAGCCAGTTAAGCATCAGACTCCTGATTTCACCTCAGGTCATGATTTCTGGGTTGTGAACTGAGGCCTGAGTTAGGCTCCATGTTCAGCATGGAGTCTGCTTGAGACTCTCTTCCTCTCCCTCTCTCCCTGCTCATGCTTTATCTCTCCAAAATAAATGAACAAATCTTTTAAAAAATCATAATTTCTGTTCAGTTTTTGTAGCTGTCCTAATTTCATGAAATGGATCAGGTGGCTTCCTTTTTTTGTTTATAATTCAGAAGAGTTTAGATGAATATTTATTTCCCAATAGTATGGAAGAACTCACCAGTATGACCATCTGTTTTAAGATCATTTTGGATGTAATTTCTTGAAGGTATTTTCTCTTTCATTAGAAGTTAGCTAGAATTTTCATGAGATGGTCAAATTTATTAGAATCAAGATATGTCTTATAATTAAATGAAACCATCACATTTATACTTATATTTTATTACAGTATATATTTTATATTTTAAGGTCTCTGATCTTTATTTTTTTGTTTTTAAAATTAGGCTTTTAAATATTTGACATGTTTAAAGAACAGGTTCTCGATTTTCCTGCTTCCTAATTATGTAATTTCTTCCTTAGCCTTACCATTTTCTTTCTTCTGCTTCTCCTCAGTTTGTTTTACTGTTGTTCTTCTAATTTTGCGATTATTCATTATATGTTTCCCCTTTTTAAATGATGAAAGTATATGACACTTTGAATTTACTTCCAAATACAGTTCAGGCTATATTCTGCAGTTTTTCAATAAGAACCTTCTGATTTTTATTATTTTTGGAATAGTCTGTGATGGTGGTTTTGATCTCCCTTTGGATCTACTGTTCTTTAGGAGATTTAAAAACCTCCAAGTGATTGGATTCTGCTTGTTTATTCATTTAACCTTCTACTATTAATTTCTGGGTTTGTTGCCTTATGATCAAATAAAATAACCTTTATGATTTTTCCCTCTGGCTTTATATAGATTTTCTTCTTTGTGAACTAGTTTAAGATCTATTTTAGTAAATACACTCTGGATCCTTGAAAAAAACTGAGATATTTAATTTGTTTATAGGCTATAGAGTTATCTTATCCATGTTGTGATTTTGTTTATTTTTGCTTCTTGACCTCAAAGGCAGAAAGAAATATTTTAAAGCCTCTCAATACTTGTATCTCTGTCAACTTCGTCTTTTGTATCTATTTTTTTCCTTGGAATATATATTCATCCTGTTTTTCCCAGTATATATTTTGATTCTGTTATTGCACACCTATAATTTTATGACTACAACATCTCAGAAATGAGTGTACCTTTTATCAAATGAAAAGTGACCTTCTTATTCCACTCCATGCTTTTGGCATGTTGGAAGGTTAGTTTGCCTAAAATTAATATAATTAATCATATCATTTTTTACTTTTGATTTCTCTATGCTTGATAAAAGATAAAATAAAAAGATATATATGTCCTTTTGCTTCTCTTACAAGAAACACATCATTGGATTTTAATTTTTAAAATTAGCCTTAAGAGGTTAGCCTTAACCTCTTTCATCTTACCTGAACATTTTTATTTAAAGTTTGTTTGTTATTGTTAGGGTGGTGTACGGAATTGTTGAATCACTATATTGTACAGCTGAAACTAATATAACATTGTATGTTACCTAACTGGAATTAAAATGAAAACTTGAAAAAATTAAAATGTTTGCTTGTGATTTGCTTTCTATCTGGTTTGACATTGATAGGGTTCATGAAATTTAAAGCCTCCAAGATTTGAAAGGTGTGTACCCTGTTTTTTATTTCACTAGTGATTATCTAATTATTCAAATTTTCTCCTGGTTTATGCTTTTTCATTATCAAAGTGAAGACAGACAATGAAAAATTTCACTATATTTTTACTATCCCCTCTTATTTTTAATTGTTAAAAATTATTTATTTTTTAAAATTTTTACTTATTTTTTAATTTTTTTTTTTTACTATGCCTCCCACATTCCTTCATTCTAATTTAACTGGTTTCAATTTTTACCAAAAGTTGTTTTGTGTGACGATGTCCTGTCATTAAGCCTTTCATTCAGAATTACTTCCCAGCTGATGTATGTCTTCAGGAAAATGTTTCAGGAAGGGTACTTTTGTTTTCACTATTGCGAGCTGAAGGTGACTTTCTGTTCTGCACTGAATTATGTCTCCCCCAAATTCCTACATGGAAGTTTTAACCCCCACTGCGACTATATTTGGACACAGGACCTTTAAGGGGTAATAAGGGCAGATAAAGTCAGAAAGATGGGGCCCTACACCATGAGGGCTGGCATCCTTATTATAAGAAGAGACACCAGGAGTGTGCACGCACAGAGAAAAAGCCATGTGAGGACACGGAGAGAAGGCAGCTGTCTGCAAGTGCGGAAGAGAAGCCATACCACGACAACCCCGCCAGCACATTGGTCTTAGACTTCAAGCGTCCAGGTGGGACAGTAATACATTTCCGTCATTGAAGACGCCCCATCTGATTTTCTGTGATGGGAGCCTGAGCAGACGCCTGTATCTTTACATGCGGCTATCCTCGGACTGTGTCTTAAGATCACTGGGTCACATCTCGTGTTTTCCCAGTGAACTGAAATCTCTGAAGGGTGGCCCGGAGAGAGGGTCAGGTTGGGGACAGGAGAAGCACTGGGCTGTTTCCAAAACCAAGTCCTTGCACAAAGAGAAATGGCAATCCAGTTTCCAGATCTTGCTGAGCCAGGTGGGAGAGGATTTGATTTCTTCCAGCCTTTTTTTAGAAGACAAGAGGAGTTTGGATAGATTTTTCTCAATTTAGCTCCATCAAAATTATAAGTAGTAGAAATTTCCTCCATCCTTTCTAATTCTAACAAAGTGGTAAGCTATTATTAGTTTTTGCTGTAGTGTGTTTTCATCTTTTTCTTAGTCTTCATAGAAGCCAGAAGATTGAGGTAAGGTTTTGCAGAAAAATCTCTGCTTTTGATACTCTTTATAGAAGTTGCCATCCCTAGAGTCTGTCTCTAGGGGCCAGTTTTATAATCTACAGAAGTCACATGGAACCAAGAGTGATGGAAACACATCTACGATTCAGGCCTGGTAGAAATCTCATGCAAACCCTTCCTCTAGTAGAAGAAAACTTGGTGTTCCGAGGGCTCAAAATAGCAGGTTCTTGAGATATTTGAATACTCCACAAGTGAGGGAGCTTAGAAACATTGCCTTTGCCTCTGGAGGTTTGCACAGTCACCACAGTACTGAAGGTGATATTAATGTAATGGCCCAGGGAGCCCCCTGGCCCCGAACACCGAGACAGTGTTTCTCTTCACTACCGAGTTTTTAGCTGGGTTTCTAGCTAAGCAGGAAGGACACCTGGCCCCGTCATTGTGCTAAATGGAGGGCTGCTGTAAGTATGGTAAGTCAGGGAAGGAGGATGTTCCCTTTCTTTTGTTTGCTCATTTGTTTAGCATTTACTCACTGTTCAGCAAGTATCATTGTGCCCCTGTTCCATACAAGGCACAGCGCTGGGTGCTGAGCGAGAACTCAGCGTCTCCCCTTGCAGAGGGGAGTTCAGGTCCATGCCTTGGTGGTGAAGTGTGTGCGTGGGGCGGGGGGTATGCCCCCCCCCCCCCCCCCCACAATACCCCCTGGGCTCCCGGGGTCACAATGCCTGGGCAGAAATTACAGCGCCAGGGTACTGATTTGGCTTCTACACAGGAGATGCTTTCTAACAATTAGACTTATTCATCAACAGAGCAGATTTCCTTCTGGGGGGCCAAGTTCTTTGCCATTGCAATGACTCAAGAGGAGATGCCCAAGGATACTGCAGAGAAGTCTTGGAATTCGCCAGCTGTACGTGTGAGCGCTTCAGGGGACAGGTCTTTGTCTCATTGGGTTTGGGAACCTGTACCTCACAGTGCCTGGCAGAGAGTGGGTGTTCAGAAGTCTCAGCAGGGACGTGAATGGGTGGATGAATAAAGTGGAAGACAGGCGGCACTGGATGATTTCCCCAAACGTCAAGCAACTCTGAGAGTCAGCGGTTTCCCACTGCCAGTGCCCCGACGGGGGCCCAAGATAAAGCTTCTCACCCTTGGCCCAAAGATTGGCGACACTCACCGTGCAAGGGGGCTGCATCCAGGGCTCCCCGTCCACTTGCATTGGCAGCAGCTTGTTTGTCCTGCAATACCAAGCACCAAGAGAACACAGTGAACTCTGACGCTTCTGGAGTCCAAGAATTTTAGGGTGGTCCCCACAAAGGAGACAGAAGTGGGAGGACCTCCTCTGTCCACCTTGGAGTGGTTCCCTAAGACTCCCCTGAAGGGCTTGTTAAAAATAGATTTCTGAGCCCACCTCGGGAATTCTGACCAGCCAGTTCTTGGGGTCACAACTCAGGCTATGGGCAATTCTGTTGCTTTGGTGTTCAGACCCTACTTCGAGAAACACTGTCCTAGGTGAGCTGTGAGGAGGGAGGTCCACTGCTGGAAGTTTGGGAAACAGCGGCAACAGGGATGGCAACGCCAGTGCTGAGCAGACCCTCAGTCAACAACCAGCCGGAGGGCCTGCAGACTGTGCCAGAAACTCCACAGTGAAATGGGAAAGGTTATGAAATGGGAAAAGGCCTGGTTTCCCTGTTGACTGAGAGGTTGCACCATGTCAATGAAGTAATGTCTCTAACTTATGCAAGGTACTGCTCAGGTCTGAGTGTGTTTGCCTTGCCCCCGCTCCTAACTATCCTCTCATTCATGTCTTGAACAGCAGGGCACTCCGTGGTTGCATGGACTATGAACTTGGCTTAGCTGGGAAATGGGGTCATTGCGAATACCGTCCCCATGGTAGGAGGAGAGGAGAGAAGACAGTGTTGCTTTCTCATTGGGGACAAGGCTTCTCTGCCATACGGATTCTTAGAAGGAGAGAGATGAGGTCTTTAGACTTCCTTCTGGGGAAGAGCTGTGAATTTGTTCTCTATTGCCTTTGGGAGAAAAGGAAAGTCCTTTCGGAAGCTTCTGGTCCGGGCGAGCAGGGAACAAACCGTTGCCACCCACTGGCTGGGAAGCTGTCACCTGAGTTTGGCATCTGCCCTGCTTTTGAAATGATAAAACAAGGGACACGGGCTGTTTCAATGTCGATCACTGTCTGACTCATCTTGAGAATATTTAATAATAAAAAATAATAAATCTAATAATAAAACCCATCATAAGAGGAGAGAGTGGCATTTTGGTTCTTGGGGCTGAGGGGGGTGTCTGGGAAATGCCCAGGAGGATGGGGATCTTGGCTCACCCCCTCTGTTCCATCTGAAAATAGGTCTACTGAATGTGAAGAAAAAGTCCTCCCTCTTCCACGTGGCTTTTTTGATTCTCCAAGGACTAAGACGTTATGTTCTCCTGATCTGTGTCAGCTATGGCTTGGCCGTGCAAACAGACTGGACCTACTCAGTGCCAGAGTCATGGAGGATAGACAAGGAAGAGAGTATGGAGATTAATGTGGAAACAGGCGCCCAGCACAACAGCCCAGAGAGAAAACAAGCAAAGCGCTGAGTAATAATGGAAAAGACAAAGAAGATATAGGGAGGGAATGAAGAAACGGGTTAGTGGGATAGACTTCAGCTAAGGGATGTCAGGGAACCAGCTCTGGGGATCTTTCTGAAAGATACTGGTTAGTGCCAAGAGCAGCACTTTCTTAAAAGTGTGCTGAGGACACTCACCCAAGGGGTTTCGGGAGGAAAGAGTTCTGTGGTCAAATACCTTTGGGAAGTCTGCATACTCTGGCCCTTCCAGGAGATCCCTAAGGCACACTAAAAGCTTTGAACTGTAAAAATTGAATGGGGGAAAAGGAAGGGAATAAAGACTTCTCAAATAACCAGGTGGAGAAGAATCTGATGAGTTTTATTGACTAAACAGAAGCAACCCAAATCAGAGGATGCCCTCTCTTAGACTGAATTTGTTCCAGCAGCCTGTAGTGACAGACCTGTGACGGCCCCATCTTGCAGAAGCATCGCCCTCTTAGGCAATTATGACAGATGGGCTGATGTTGATGGTTTGGCTCTACAAAGGCACACAGGACATAGTATTTCTAAGGCCACTATCCAGGAAAGAGTGAGCAGAGAACCTGGTTTCTGTCACAGTGTGCTCCCTGGCATACATCTAGCATCTTAATTTGTGAAGATAAGAAAGGCAACACTGAGCAGAGGCTCGTAGGGGGAGGGAGGGAAAACTGAAAAGGAAGAAATCAGAGAGGGAGACAAACCATTAGAGACTGTTATCTATAGGGAACAAACTGAGGGTTGCTGGAGGGGAGGTGGGTGGGGGGATAGGATAACTGGGGGATGGGCATTAAGGAGGGCACGTGATGTGATGAGCACCGGGTGTCACACACAACTGATTAATAACTGAGCTCCACATCTGAAATGAATGAGGTACTATATATTGGTTAACTGAATTTTAAAAGAAAAGAAAAGGCAAGGAGTTGAACCTCTGGTTCTCTGGACCTCATAATCTTATACTATTTAGAGAACTTCACCAATTCATTACAAGGGAATAACAAACAGGTCATGGTGGACCCTTCAGTTGATGTCTTGGATGGTTGCATTATACCTGGTTTGGGAAACTAAATGTCTCTAAAGATACTCTTTATAAAAGTTAATCAGGCTTCTGTCCTGCACTTTGCCTGCACTGAAATCCAAAGATGGCTCCCTAATCCTTTTCCGTAAGAACACTGAGGGGGAAGAAGACCTGGAGGCTGCTGGGTAATGAGGAAACATACCTGATGGTGACAGAGGAGCACTGGGCTAGCCTCCTGCCCGCACTCTTCAGGCCAGTGTAGATCTGCCCCATCTCCATGGCTCCCTCTAGCCCCACCACTTCAAGGAGCTGGTCACTGAGGTCTGCAGAGTGAGACAAACAGAAGCAGTGCATACACATCTCTCTGTTCCTCAGGCTGGTTTTGGTCAGAAATCCAGATCTGTCAATGATACCCTTTCATCTCCCACCAAACAGCATTTTCAAACTAATTATGAATACGGAATTTCCCCCAAAGGTCAATACATGTACTTTTCATGAACAGAAACCCAATTCTAACGAAAAAAAGTTTTCATTCAGAACATTAATATGCATCCAATGAATAGGTTGGCAATTCTAGAAGCTTCTTCAAATGGAGAGTAACAAATGATGAACCAGCTATTTCCGAAATGATTTTCAACCCCCTCCCCCCACCTCCCCACCAGTGCAGCTAAAGACACATGGGTTTGTGTTTAGGATAGGAAGTGATGGTGACAGAAGTCCTTTCTCTGTAGCTGGTTCAAGTTTCTTTTCTCTGAATGTCGGAACAACATCACGGCCCTACTGAGGATGACGGATGGTCAATTAACCTCAAATTTGGCCTGTGGGAAGCCAGTGGTGAGCCAACCTCTTTCAGGACACCAGGTGCCTCATCTGAGCCAAGGAAGAGAGTATTTCACCTCCACCAGATTATTCTGGGTCCACAGTAGAGAAAGTGGGACAGAAAATATGAGTCTCAGGCTCAGAGTCCCATAGGCTCAAAGGTCTCTCACAGTGGCAGTTCCTCCTGATTCAGCACCTGGAAGATATCTTTTGTTCAGAGTTCCTGAGGGCTGCCCTTGCCCGGTTTCTTGTGAAATGGCAGGATCAAGGTTTGATGCTGGGAACAAGACTCACTTTTACCACACAACTTAAGTAGTTAAAACAGAAACAAAACAAAAAGGCGGATTCTTTAAAGCTTCCTTTTTTTTTTTTTTTTTTTTTTTTTGGCCTACTAAGGCAAAGGTACTTTTCTCCCAGATTGTACCTAGTCACTAACATCCTACTAATATCCCCAAACAAGAAAGTTAATGCTTTTATTTATTTAATAGACGGTTTTTGTCAAAGGTGCCTCTTGGTTATAGCGTAATGGTGTTTGTTAAGATTGCCAAGGAGATATTTGGGCTTGTCTTTACTTTTTTGTTTAGAAGACTATTGTTTAAAAACATTGTCTTGATGGACATATTTCTAATGAAGAGTTAAGCAGACCATGGGGCTGACCACAAATGTGTCAACACTGCTCCAATCCAACCTCCTGATGATCACTGATGGACAGCAGCTGCCAACAAATAGTGCTCGCTGGTCTTCCTGTGACAGACACAGAAGCTTTCCCTTCTATTTTCCATTTCAACCCACACTCCCATACTCCTTCTCCTCCCCTCCTTCTCTCCTCCCCTTTCTCCTTCTCCTTCTTCTTCTTCTTCCTCCTCCTCCCTCTCCTCCCCCCCCCCTTCCCCCCCCCCCTCCTTCCTCCTCCCCCCCCTCTTCTTCTTCTTCTTCTTTCTCCTGCTCCTCCCCCCACTCCCCCTCCCCCTTCTTGTTTTCTTCTCCTTCCTTTTCTTCTTCTCCTCCTCCTCCTCCTTCTCCTCCTCCTCCTCCTTTTTCTTCTTCTTCTTCTTCACCTTCTCCTTCTTTTTTTTTTTCCGTATCTATGAAGAGATACTGTCTCCTCTGTCTCTTAAACTCTCTTAAACTCTCCATCTCATTTGGTCTTGGACCAAGAGGCCGTGAAAGAGCAGTGTTTGTTTAGGAAAACGCTCCAGGCTCTCTTAAAGAGTTTGGCTCCAATGAACAATGAATATCTAAACCTCTAGTCATTTAATTAGTTCCCTTCTTACCAAAGAGCATTAAATAACCATTGGGTAGTCTTAGCTTACTGTCCCATTTTAACAGTGTCTGTGAAATCAGCACAGGTTATGAATGAGAGAGGAGTGAGGAAGGGAGGAAGGAGGAGGAGGGAGGAGAGAAACAGAGGAGTGTATCTAGGGGTAAGGAAGGTGGGGGAGTTATACTGGGGTAGGAGGAAAAAGAAGCAGAACTTTTCAGAGGTTCCCCTAATGGCAGAAAGACAGATGTCTTGTAAAATGTTGCTCTTTGTACCAGGCTTCAGTATTTGACAGTGCTGTTATAGTTCAGTGTTTTCCCTCCTTGAAACATTTCCTGGTAACAAAATGTTCTAAGAAGCAGGGGACTTAATAGACTCAAGTGTTTCAGCTTTTACAATGTCTTGGTCTTTTAACAAATTTTCCTGTTGAATGGCTTTAAGTTGTTATCACTTCCCACACATTACCTTGCAGCTATCACTTCCCACACATTACCTTGCTTCCTGGCTCTAGAAGAGAAGTAATGAAGGCTGATCTCATCCACATGGTGGGTGGGTGGGGGGCAGAGGCTTACACACATGTGGGACTGAGGAGATAAATGCAGGGTAAGGGGCTAGGATATACTGGTATGCTTTTTGCCGTTCTGCTTTTGAATTTGTACTCTGAATCTTCTCTGGCATAAAGAGGCTAGGATGACCCTTGTCTACTTCTGGAGGAATACTTGACTGCTCTTCTATTTCTCCACCATTGCCTAGCTGATCTTTCTTTCCTTTTCTTACAATGCCTCCCATGAGATTCTGAGATAAGGAAATCTATTTCATGTTGTTTCCCAAACTTATGGGACCACAAGTCTTTTCTTTTGTGTGATACCCATAAACAGTTCATGGTAGTTTTCTTTGATACACATTTTGGGATATTTTGACATCACTTAATTCCCTTTACTTCCTTTAGCACAGAGATACTTATGCATACATCAAATTTGGACTTAAAGTGAAAAAGAATAGAGTGAAAGTCAACATCCAAGCACACAGAACAATTAATATTTAGAGCTTAGAATCCAGGATCAGGACATCTGGTATACCAGGTGTCTGTTTTACCTGGTACCAGTGATTCAGAGTATGGTTTTGGCAATTCACATCACTTCCATATTGTCTCTCTTTACACTTTTCAACTCATTAGTATTTAAGCTGGAATGTTCATGTACCTTAGTAAAACAGGGATTCATTCATTCGTTCATTCATAAGTTACTGAGTAGCAACTGAGTGCCAGATAAGAACTGGGAATACAAAATGTTCTACTCTTGAAGGACTCTTGGTCAAGAGGGAGAAAATGTAGTAGGTGTAGAAAATGCTATAACTGAACTGTGAGAACAGGAGGCGTGAGTAAGTATGGGAGGGCTAAGTAAGGGAGGAAGATGTCACAGACCTTTAAAGAAAGTCTTAAAGGATAAATGCTGGGTTAAGAAGGAGAAGGGGCAAAGATGTTCCAGGGACAGAATGATATGTAGGGTTGGACGGTCACAGAATGCAGAAAGAAATTAATTTAGCAATAAATCACTTGGCAAGTTCTTTGAAAAATATTAAAAAAATTCTACATAAGGAGAATTATTGTCTAGAATGTTTTGTTTGTTTGTTTGTTTATTTGTTTTTGACCCCTATAGGAAGAGGATCGCTGAGCTGGGCACAAGTTTGCTGCAACCACTACAGTGAGGCCTTTCAGTTCTGCCCCTGGCAAAAATCCTTGTGTTTGTGGGCAGGGAACATTTAATATACACTCTCTAAGGAGGAAAAAAAGATGAAGAATGGGGAAATGGAAAAAAGGAGAATGTGGAAGCAAAGCAAGAACAGCAAGGATGGCAATAGCAGCTCCAATCTGGCCCGCTTGACTCAGCCCCCAGTATGGGATTTTATAAATGCAAATCCGCTCATGTCATCCTCATACCAAAAATCCTTCAGTGGCACCGATCATAACACCAGGTGCTGGCAAGGGAAGCTGAAATGTGTGTTCTTTCACACCTATGATGAAAGAGCAAATTGGCAAAAACTTTGACAATGGGAGTCTACAATTTTCATACTGTTGATTCATTAATTTCTTTTTTGGTACCAATCACAAGAAATCATTGACAGGATCTAAGTGCACACAAATATGAACACTGTTGTATTATTTATAGCAGTGACATCCCCCCTTCCTCATTTCCGTCTGTATGAGAATAAAGTATACAGTATCCATGACGATAGACTTTTGCGCTGTCATTAAGATATTTACAAAACTTCGAAAACATTAACTATGTCTATGACGTTAAGTGTGAAGGTGAGATACACACTTATTTATACACAGCATGTCCTGAGCTAAGTAAGAATATGCATAGGAGAAAAGGATAAATTCCCTTAATATCCTGACAGTGTTGAATTCTGGATCATTAGATTCGAGACCACTGTTATTTCCTACTTGATGCTTTTCTACATTTTTCATATTTTCTAGAAGTATGTATTAATGTTATAATTTAAAAGTCATTTAAAAAAAACCCTATCAACTGACTGCTCTTCATACCTGTAAACTTGATGTAAACTCCCTGGCTTGTTGCCCAAGGCAACAAGGCGTCTGTCAAGAGGTTGCATTTTCCTGACACTCTAGGGCTAGGTACCTGTGCCTGACATGGACAACAGCATGAAGTTTTCCAGGTAATCTCTCCTTTGTGCCTCTGTGTATGCCGTACCCCTGCTTGAAATGCCCACTTCCACTTTTACTTGTTCATCAAGACTCAGGTCAAGCGCCATCAACTTCACGAAGCCTCCTTGCACGCAGTTTGGTTTAGATCCTCAAACTTTTCCAGGTCGGTGTTGTCAAGGAAAGAACAAGGGCGTTGATGTCCTGATGGTGGGCAAGAGATGACTGTAACACTTGCTGTGGCACAGGGTCTAGTTTGAATAGGGAAGGAGATGAAGGACTAAAGGAAAGGGAGAAGGGAGTGAGAGGTGTAATGAGTTCTAGCAGGTGTTGTGAGCCAGTGGGAAGAGGAGGGTTGGGAGAGATGCGGTGAGCAGTGCTAGTACATTCCAAGTCCCTCCCATGGCCCCAGTGCTGGGCAGCTGAAGAAGAGGGAGGCGATGGGTGTTAGCGTCAAGGCGAAGTGAGGCTAGGTCAATGGTCACCATCCTTTGCTGCAGGTTACGGTTACCTGGAGAGTTTTTACCCATAACAATGCCCAGATTGCATCTATACCAGTTACATCAGAATATGTGGGC